CAGGCCTGATTGCCCCTTAGTACCAGCCCTCCTGGGTCTGGGAGCATTTATACCACCTGCCCCAAGAACTTCCCCTGCCAACAGTTCTGGTTTAGGTGCTTTGACCTCCAGAGACTGCCCCCTCCATGCCCCCACTCCTCCCGCCTGAGCCCAGCAAACACTCAAAGCCCAGCCTGGCTCGCGTGACGGGCCCCAAGCCGATTTGAGGAAAAATCCCGTGAGAACGTCCTCAATCTTCTTCAATCGTATTAGGGATATTAAGGTCTAATTCCAGGAGCTCATGCACTGGGCAAGGAGCTCTGGGAACCTTTTCTAAAGCACACTTGTTCTCTCAGCTGTTTCATAATAGCTCCTGCATCTGCCCAGGTCAGGCTGGTCCCCCCCCCCTTGGGAAATCACCCTCCAGCCTCCAGTTGTCCAGGGCACACCCCTCCTCCTGCCAGGCCTCCAGGGAACAGCTGGCAGGCGACACTGCAGCTTTCTCTCTCTCTCTCTCTCTCTCTCCCCCTGCGCCCAGTTTTACAGTGAACTGTGGAAACAAATATGTTATGCACCATTACAGTAGCCTGTCTGTCTATGGAGATTGTTCTGTTTTGTAAAAATATATGTCTTTATATATATATATATACACACACACACACACCTTCTAGTCATTCTAACTTGCCTGTCTATGGAGGTTTATTTTATCTTATTTTATATTTAAGAGAATTTTTCATGTTCCAATCCAAATCAGCCAAATCAATTCCAAATCTGTGAGTCAGTCCAGAATCGTAAGTGGCCCTATAACCGGCAAACATCCTCCACCCCACCTGGGGCTTCAGATGTTTCCAAATCCTTTGGCAGGCATCCTACGTGCAGGCCCAAGCCCGGAGGCTTGGGGTTCGATGCCCCTGAGTTTCACTAGTCCTCAGCCGTAAGGCTGCAGGAGCAAGCTAGGGAGGAGTCTCCCATTTCCATAAAGTGGGCATAAAGCCAAGACCTTTCCAGTTGAGCAGCAAGTGGGAGGTTTACTATACCTTACCACCATGGGTACTACCCAGTTCCAGAAAAACAGGCATTCCCAGGGGCGACTAGAAAACCACCTTAGTGGTCATGGTATTTTCCCTGCCAGGCAAGTAGCCTGCCTGTCTATGGAGATTTGTTTTTTGTTTTGTAAAAATATATGTCTTATATATATATGTACACACCTTCTAGTCACTCTAGGCTGCCTGTCTATGGAGTGCACCAGTTCCACCTTGACTGACCTCTGCAATAAGTAACTATTCCACAGGGAAGACCTGGGATTAGTCAAGACGCGCTGTAGGTTGCTGGATAGCACAGCCGATGCTGATGAGACCTGATGCCAATTCAGGGAGAGCTGCGGACATTGTGTCCCAGCCCTGCAGCCAGGCACAATATGTCCTGTCAGAGCATGACCGGAAACCACACGCAGGGTCACACTGACTGTTTTATGGTTGTCACTTCTTGATAATCATCAGTTCTTTTTGGTTTCTCTAGGCACCAGGATAGCCCAGAATCCAGCAGTGAATACGTTAAGGTAGGAACCCAACCACTTTCTCCAGTGCATGGTTACTCCCTGTGCTGATAGTGGAAGCGTTGGCTCATTTATAACCACCGCATTGCTTGGGGAGATCAGCTGCTCCCATGCATCAGACTCAGCAGCACTGTCTCAGGCTTGAGAGGGGTATGTGCAACCTACTCACAAAAGAGCCTTAAAACCTTGAGTATCTTGCTGTTCAATTGAAATCCCATACAAATTTAAGAAGCTGGTCATGGTTTCTATTCCCTGTGCTGCAGTAGGTGCATGAATACCAGAGGGAGATGGAAGGATCCCAGCTAGCAAATGCCATCTTGTTGATATCATGACTGTGTTCAGGACTTGGGGAAACTCATTTCCTCTTTATACTGCTCCCTCTTTCTTGCTTAAAGGAGCTCCCTTAACACTGGGGGCTTCCCACTTCTTCCCTTCAAAGGGCTTCCATCTGCACAATGATGTTTAGCACTACACCAAAGGTATGGTTGGCACAAGGCCTTTTTATAAGCAAGAGATCCATTACACTTGGATCAAAGCCTGTATTTCACTTTGTTACCTACCCTAAATTGAGCCTCCTCTGTCTATTTTGAGGTCCAGCTTCAGAGTCAGATCTAAGCCCAGATCTGGGTCGAGTAGTTGGTACAGGGGGTGGGAAAGCCTATTCCATCTGTCAGGAGCTGCGTCAAGTCATTGGCTGCAGGGTAGGTTTGCTGCCATGCAGGGCTTTGAGGTCAGTACATGGGAGGAATCCCCTCCCTATGCAAAAGCAGTGTCATTGTGAGAGCTGCCTTGGCTTCATGTTGTCCAGATGTGGGAGCGGGTGTTTGCTGCATCAAGGAACACAGCTAGTGACGTGGAGCTAGGGCTGGAGCCACCTCATCCCTCAGCCTCAATGTGGAAAAAGCAGCTTCAGCTACTCAGTAGCAGCCACGTGAAACGTTGACGTAAATCTCTACAAATCTCTCACAAAGATCCTGCTTATTCTCCAGCAAACTGTTAACATTCCCTAGGAGTCTTCATGCGTTGACAGAAATTCATTAGTGAGTGACTAGCCTTGGGGAAGAGCATGCATCTCAGAGGAATGCCAGCAGGATTATTTGAAGGGGACAGGGGTGGGAATGGATGGCTCAGGAGCTTGGCCATGAGGGATGTTCAGTCTTTCACTTCCACACGTGCAGTGCAAACGTAGCCCAGATCAGCCACGAATGGAGGTTGCTACCATCTGCTCTCTTAGTGACCCATGTGAAATAATCAGATGACTTCCCAGTTCAGTTCCCAGTGGGAAAATATCCACCTTACAAAAGTCAGCAGCCACAGGTTTGCAACAGTATTTGTCTCTTGGGGAGCTGAGCACCTGCCCTCTAAGAGCCAGGCTTCTTCAAGGGGTGTCTGCAGCAGGACAAAATTGGGAGGTGTTCCTGAAAATCTCAGCAGTTGGCACTAGATGCCAGGCTCCACAGAGAGATCAAGCGGCAAGTCTCAGCTACCCTGAGGGCTCTTTGGTAGTAGGAGATGTCCTGAAGGGGCAAACTCTAGGCTCTAGGGCTATCACTCCTTACTTAATGTGGGGGGTTTCAATCCTTGCTATAGTAGGACCTCTCTCTCTTCCTTTCTAGCAAAGACCTCTCTCTCTCATATAGCAATACAGGAAGGGCAGGTTGTCTGGATAGCGGTGGAATAGTCAGGAACATCCAACAACCCATAGGATGGAAATCTGGAGACCTGAAAGCAGCACATCATTGAAGGAGGGACAGTAGACTTGTATTTGCTTCTCCTGTTTGCCAACCTTTGCAGTCAGCACAGTGTGTATCTCTTTAATTTATGCAAGCATTGTCCTGAGAGGGCAGGGGCATAGGCAGAGGAAATGAGGAAGGAATTCACTTGAGCTGACCTTGCTCGTGAAAAGTTTTCTCCTCATTACATTTTTCCATGCACCCACACACTTAGCTATGGGCTTAATTTGTGAGTTATGATTTAACTAACCAAAACACGGGCATGCTAGAGAGATGGATGTAAACAGTCACAGGCCTTTGCCATTAGCATCCAGTGCCCTTGATGATCTGCCAAAGTGGCCAGCTTCAGATCCAGATTGATCCTCCCGGGCATTCAGGTCAATTGTTTTTGTTGTGTCATTGAATGGGGCTGTTTTGTATTTTGTCTACTGATCGTCCGACTAAAGTTTGCTGGTAAAGTAGTGGTGATGCCTATTTATTCACTTATTTATGAACAAATCCTCTTGAATTTAAGGATGAAAGTAATAGGCTTCTATGGAAATGACTGTAAAAACTTATAGAAATTAGTGTCAGTCTGATGAACTAGCCTACAGAACGGTGTATAGCCCAAGGACTAAATTCTACACGATGTTACTACAAACATAGCATAAAATACTGTTTCCCACGAAATTTGCTGTAAGTGCCTAGGAAATCATAGGTAGTATTCATCCCTGTAGTATCCAGGCGCCCCCTACAGGCATAGTGTGTCTTTCATCTGCTTTACTTGATGGATGATTGTTGTGGTAATAGGAGTTATCCAACTCGAATAAATAAGTAATACAAACTTAGAACAATCAGGATGACTGAACACAGAGTTGGTAACAGGCTGCCCTGTGCCTTCCCTGCTCATCCAGGAGACATTCAGAGACCAGGTCTAAAGCTAGATCCATGCACTCATGGAAACCCCATACTGAGGTGAGGTTTGGCACTAAACCAAGGTAGAGGCTTCATGCTAGTCCCTCACACAGGAGCAACTTTCACTCATCCAGATAGCGGTCCTTCTGATGCAAATTCCCTGAGCTACACAAAATGTGTCTTGCTTTATAGGCAAATCAGACGACATGGTCCTGGCCCCAGGGACCTTCTCATTGGGATGCAATGCAGTTGCATACCCCAACAAGCTAACTCATTCCCAGAGTGCAGTATGAGCCTCACTCGCATGCCTGGGATTTCATAGATTCATAGATTTCGTAGACATTAGGGCTGGAAGGGACCTTGGAAGATCATCGAGTCCAGCCCCCTGCCCCAGGGGCAGGAAGTCAGCTGGGGTCATAGGATCCCAGCAAGATAAACATCCAAATTTCTCTTGAAGGTGTTCAGAGTAGGCGCTTGAACCACCTCCAGCGGCAGGTAATTCAGTACAAACCTTGGGGGCTCTGACAGTAAAGAAGTTCTTCCTTATGTCCACCCTGAAACAGTCATGCAAGAGTTTGTGACCATTTGACCTTGTCATCCCTTGGGGTGCTCTGGTGAACAGATGTTCCCCCATATCCTGGTGAGCACCCCTGATAAACTTATAGGTGGCCACGAGATCACCCCTGAGCCTGCGCTTTTCCAGGCTGAAGAGTCCCACAGCTCTCAGCCTCTCATCATAAGGTCTGTTTTCCTGACCTCTGATCATGTGCGTGGCTCTTCTCTGGACTCTCTCAAGCTTCTCCACATCCTTTTTGATTTGTGGAGCCCAAAACTGGATGCAGTACTCCAGCTGCGGCCTCACCAAGGCCGAGTACAATGGTAGAATGATGTCCTGGGATTTGCTTGAGAAGCATCTATGGATATAAGCCAGCATTTTGCTCGCTTTACTAGCTGCAGCATCACATTGAAAGCTCATGTTCATCTTGAGTCTAACAGGGAGAATTGTGTCTAACAGGAATGCTTGAGTCTAACAGGGAGAATTCCTCAGAGCAGCACATACTCTTCCTAAACCTTTCTGTCTGGCCTTTCCTTTCATTCCAATTCCCCACCCAAGAGTCAGTGCCTCCCAAAAGCCAATGGGTGCTCAGCGCCTGTCAGAATTTCGCCCCATGCACCTGGATGTATCAGAGTAATACACCCTCCTGTCTGGAGTATTATCCATTGATCATCTGAGAAGCAGGACATTTTCCCTCTGCTAATTTGCTGAATTGGTTCTGTAAGTAGACAGGAATATAACGCCTTTGTACAGACTCTTTCCTAGGCATTAAAGGATCACATGCCTCACTGGTCCTAGTGGCAAAATCTTCCCTTTCGGTGTCACTGTAAGCAATGGTGCAATGATACTGGCTGCTGCTCTAGAGCCAGACTTTCCTAGTAGGAATCAACTTGTGGAAACTGGGCAGGGGACAGGATGCTGGGAAGGTTCTAGTTATGCCCAATCTAGTCTGTGGAAGCAGGAGTTGTAGCAATGGTAGTGTCACTGATTGGGGAGCTCTTAGCTACTCTAGCTGCTCCTAGCAGTGCTGGGAATCAGGACTGGTGCACCCCTTTGCTTTGCTGAGATTGCTGGATGTCTCATACTGACATGAATTAAATGATAAGCAAACAGAGAAGGAGCCAACCTGTCTGTTCTGCAATACTCAAGCAGAGGCAAGACAGGGAAGAAAATATAGATGAGAGAGAGCACAACCCACCAACAGAGATACCCTGTATGAAGGAACAAGGGCAGGTCAGGGGCTGCTCAGAGAAGCTGCAATATTCACATGTGCCATTGAAACAAAGGCCAGGCCACAGCCAGCTTGTTATCAGCTCCTGAAAATGCCCCACCACCGTGCCCCACCACCACCATGGGGTTTGCTCTTGGTGAGTCAGAGTTGCTCCCACAACCTGGCTCATCTGTCAGCCTCATTGGCAGGCGCTGTGGAGAGCGTGTGGGCTGGGGAAACTCCAACAGGTCCCCCCACAGCAAGGTGAAGCTAGGAGCCCTTGGACTGCAGCCGTGAGCATAAGTCTGCTTGCTGCACCTAATTAGACTCCAGGCAGCTGGAGCGAAGGAGGCGGCAGCCCAGGCAGCCTCCCACACAAAGCCCAGGGCACACAGAAGAAAACAGGCTAGCACATCCCCACCTTCCCCAGGGGAGCCGAGTGCTTTTATTCACCAGCCCCGCTTGCCCTCATTCACTGTTTCCTTCTAGTGTGGGAGCAGCTGCTGCTGCTGGCTGACGTGTTCCTGCGTGCAGCAGCAGCATTGCTGGGATAACACAGCCAAGGAACAAACCGCACGCTGCCCAAACAGGTGTATGTGCCTGGCAGCAC